TGCAGACTTACGGGATCCTGCTGGAGGGCTTGTTGGTGGCTGGCTCCAAGCGGGGACCCCCGCAGCATTCAGAGAGGTGTCCTCAGTCGAGGCCCAGGCTCCTCTCCCCTGCCCACCCTGCCAGTGCTTGGAAATGTCACTGTCCTCTCAGACCCAGGTCACTGAAAGCCACCTGGTCATCGCCTCCCACAACGTGTCCTCTGTTGGGCTGCTTTGACCCTTGTCCTGGAGCCAGAGACTTGGAACCCCAAATATCGTGGGGTCCTCCTCCTGCTCTTGTGGACCCATCTGTCTTCCCCCCCACGGTCGCTCTGCCTGTGCACCCCCCACACACAGACACACACAGGCTAACCTTCTCATTCAGGCTGCTTGTCTCCAAAACTGTTCATGCTCACTGCTCTAGCTGCTGCCGCCAGCGCCCCCCCCCCCCACGCCTTCCAGCAGTTTCTCCCACACTGGCTCTCACAGGCGATCTGGATCCCCACTGGCTATGGGTTAGTTAGGTCCTTGGCCCGCTTCCCAACCGGACCCTCTTTCAAGCAATGGCCAGGCCTTTCCCTTGAACAAAACAGACACAAAACTACCTTCTGCTTCCCTCCCCTTACTCAGCGACATTGAAAAAGATGATCCCCAAATAGTTGTGGGATGCTCTCATTCGGAACCACCCACTCACGGGTTCCCCAACCAGCAAAATGAGAGCAATAGATCCTCTCCCTTAGATTATAAAGATTCAAGTGAGAAAAAGTGGTTTAGAGAAACCACAGCACTCCGGTACCCTGAGCAGATGCAGCTCATAATGCTCTCTTCCCCTACGGTGGGCATGACCCATTACCCATTCCCCCCCCTACCTTAATAACCGTAGATATGAAGGGCAGCACACTCAATGTGGAGAATATAAACAGTCTTAATACAGCATCTGCTGTTGGGGCGCCTGGGGGCTCTGTCATTTAAGCGTCTGATTTCAGCTCAGGTCATGGACGCAGGGTCCTGGGATTGAGTCCTGCTTCTGACTCCCTGCTCAGCGGGGAGTCTGCCTCTCCATCTCCCTCTGCCCCTCCCCCTGCTCATGCTCTCTCTCTCTCTCTCTCCCTCTCAAATAATTAAATGAAATCTTTAAAAAAAAATTAAAGCATCTGCTGCTTTCCAGAGATGTTAAATGAAGTTGAAGACATGGGGCACCAGGATTGCCACATGGGGAGGTCAACGGCAATGGGGGCGGGTGTGTGTGTCCTGTGTCTTGGGCTGGCATAGAGTAGCTTTCTCCCCCCGAGGTCTCTGTGCTTACGGGCCCACACTGCTTCTGAAGTGGGGCCTTGACTCCATCCACACCCCAGGCACCATTTCTGGTGTGGACGGAAATTTCTCACATGCACTCTTCAAAATAATTATTCTGTGAAAAATAAAAATGCAATGTCACAAATTTATCAACATATGTATTTATAATCTGTCCATTGCTTTCATCAAATGATACAGAAATTGCAATGGAAACGCTGTGCGATTTTGCTGCTAAGGAGGCTCTGTTCTGGAGAAATGTTGCGATCCGATAGCATAACCAGCTCTCGGGTGATGCACGTTCCATGGGTCTGTTGTTCTGGGTCTAGGATTCTTGGTAAGCCTCCCATGTGCTTCCTGAGTGCAGCCAGGAGGGGGCACTGCTCTCAGCCTTGTGTCCTCAGGCCCAGAGCATCTAGAGGCTTCTCAGAAGTGCTTTTGAGCTGTGTTTTCAAGAGAGCAAAGCGTACCAGGCAGGGTGTGTACGATGTGGGAGAGGCAAGAGGGTGTGATTGTGGGTTTTCCAGGAACAGGGAACGTTAGACCGATTGCCAGGCGAGTGGGGGAGGAGCGAGGGCAGGTTCATGATGGAGGGTCAAAGGAGTCCCCTGACTTTCAGGCTTTGCCGTTGCTTTGGGTATTAGCCGCAGCCCTGCAGGGGACAGGTGTGTGATGGCATTGAGTCACAGACTCCAAAACGAGGCACACACCCAGTTTTTGCTATGAAGGAATTTAGGGCCTTACTGGATCTTACCGGAGCCAGAAATTCATGTCGTTTTGTGAAATGTTCCAGTTTTTTCTGAGTTGGCTAGCTTCAGTGTGCACACACAGACAGGCCTGCACGCAAGCACACATGCACAGGCTTGCATAAACACACACGCATGCTTGCACACGTGCGGGCCTACACATGCAAAGATACGCCTGTTCACATACACGTGTGTGTGCACACACGCACCTGTGCAGGGATGCACACACATGCACACGTGTGCACACACGCACGTAACACTGTGCTGAACAGAAAGCTTCACCGGATGTCCCGGCAGCCTGAGGGGCTGTAGGTCCTGCGTGGGGGTGGGGTCGGGGTGCACCGCGCAGAGTCAGGTGTGAGAAGACGCAGGGCCCCATGGTCGGGGCTCATCTCCTGCATGTGGAGTGAGGGCATCCTGGGAGGCGGCAGGATCCACTGGCCGAGGCTGGACGGTAGGAGGACGCATGTGTGCAGGTGTCCATGATGAGAGCTGTGCTGGGAGCTGGGGAGATTGCTCATGTGGGGAACACTGGGGGGACTGGTGATTCCTTCTTCCTCTCTCCTGCTTCCGCTCCCGTGGTGGGGCTGGCCGATAGAATAAATGCATCAGGAGCTGCTTCCTGCTCGACTCAGGAGTTCGAGCCAGGTTTATTAGTATCCAGAAATAAACAGAGAGCACCCTGAGCAAATGTATTCACTTCCCCAACATGTTAAAAAATAAACACTTCTTTTCCTACAACGAAAGCACCTTTGGGAGGTAATGTGAACAGCAGGTGGGCTTCTGGGAACCTGAGCATCTAGCCCTAGACCCAGGGTTGACTAGTGAAGGACTCTGTAACCTACTTCTCCGTGTCCCGACTTCCCCGTCCGTAGAATGGGGTGGCATCCGTTCTTCATAACAGGCTGGAGAATGCAGCACTGGAAATCGTTTGGGTTTATTGCTAGCTCTGCCGTTTTCTAGTCTTATCAAGATGTGTCCACGCTCCTCTCCTATGAAGCAGGAATAACTGTAGTACCTCCTCAGTGTGTCATCGGGAGGGTCGATGAATTGGTAACATACAGCCCCCCCCACGCGATATGCTGACTACTTCGCTTTCCTTTCTGCAAGTTAAAAGTGAAGGAAGTACGTAAGGGATAAGAGGAAGGCACAAGTGATAACGATTATGACACCATTGTAAGGTTTTCACCAAGAAAAGAAGGGAATTAATCTAGGTCTACATAGCCCAGTAGAGGAGGAGACTGGAATGTCATTCCGATCTGAGTCTTTACATTAACCAGTGACATGAATGGCAGGAGCTCGTGGCCTGCTCTGAATCCCATTTGCTATTCCCCCCTCAATTTTAAGTGACCTCTTTCGTTTTGCAGGTAATGCATTTATAGCTGATATTATAGAAAAATTAGAAAGTGCATAGAAGTGAAAATAGCAAAATATGATATGACACGTATCCTGGAGATTCTTGTGTGCATCTTTTAGACTATGATCTATGACTACAATGCATAATTCTCTTAAAAATGGAATTTTCTAAAATAGTATTTGTTTTCTAGAAAAAGAAAAATCTGAATCAAGTACTTCAGTACATCAAATCCTGTACTTTTAAAGTGTATTTAACTAGTACCAGCATAACATTGTTTTGAAGTACCGTAGTTTATTGAAATGGTCTCTTACTGACGTGCAGTTCGATTATTTTACGTTTGTTTGCCATTGTAAATTGTGCGGTACTGAGCACCTTTGAACTTCCCACAGGGAAATAATTGGGGAGTTATTTCTTTGTGACCAGTTTCTAGAAATGGAATTACCGTGCCTCATACCTTGGGCCAGAGTGCCCCCAAGAAGATTGCTCTGCAGGAGAGTTTAAGCTCGTTAGCTCTTTGTGGCAGGAGGTGGGAGGGCAAAGTGGGCAGGAGCGGCCCCTGGGAGTCAGGCACGTCCACTCTCCATCACTGCTCCGACACCAATAACCATGGGCCTTCAGGGGAGCTACAGATCTCTTGGACATGCAGTTTTCTCAGCTGCCAAATCGTTTGAGTGAGGTGAACGTCCTAAGGTTATTATTAGCAGAGGCCCTGGCGCTGAGTAAATACTAGCTATTATGCAATACCTACGGTCTCTGTAAGATGAGGCCCTTACACACACATAAGCGTCTCTGTTGTGCATGTATACACACATACGTGAAGACAGAGACATACTTGTATGTAAAATAAAATACCTGTATCAAGTAAGGTCCTTTGCCTCCCTGAATGATCTGGAGGAGACCAAGTGGGTGACTAGTGGGTGACTGGTTCCCAGGTGTTTACAAATCTCCTGCAAAGTGAACTGAGAACTCAAAGCATAGCTGGGAATAAGGTGACAATCCCATTGCTCGTGTCCCTCGCTGCCCAGCCGCCGCCTGCGTGCAGGGGGGCCTGGGGGAGGGTGTTGGTCAGATGGGTTTTCTGGGTAATTTAGTGTACCCCAATGCTGTCCTAACAACCCCAACATTGTGGGTCTGTGGATTCCAGGTCTGCAGCTGGTCATGGTCCTGGATCCAGAGCTGGGACAGGGAGCCAAGCCGAGTGAGGCAGACCCCTGGGGGAGTCCACGTTAATTTGGTGTGATTTTTGTTTAACCCACTCAGTGGCTCAGAAAGGGCTGGTCCACGCAGACTCTGCTACACCAGCCCACTCCTCGATCTGTACAGGTTGTGACCGTGCCACTGCCTGGGGTATCCATTTCTCCGCTGATCCTTTCCTTTCCAGCACGCTTCACCTGTTTTTCTTAGTTGTCCCCTTTCTGTTAGTGTTGCAGAGTGTGCCAATGCATCGACTTTAAAAGGGGTTGTATACCTCAGAAGGCTGTTCTGAGGAGGGAGAAATGGTTAAAAGAATGGCTTGTCATGAGGGAAAGTCCTAGAAAGCCGCTGGACGCTCAGGCGTGATGGCGTTAAGGTCATAGTTGGAAGCTGTTGTCTCATCCAGTCCTTCTGTGCTGTCTCTGTTGAAGGAGGAAGATGAAGGCTCGCGCTCCCCCTCCTCCTGGAAAGCCCGCCACGGCGAATGTGCACAGCGAACAGAAGCCTCCCCGGGACGTGTCGCCCGGCCCTCCGCAGAACCTGCTGCACATGAAGGAGAACTTGAGGAACAGCACGGTGGCGGTCACCGTGGTTCTGCCCAGCGGGCTGGAGAAGAAGAGTGTGGTCAGTGGCAGGTAAGGGTGTGGGCACCTTGCGGACGGCTCACTGCCGTCCAGTCTCAGGTCCAGGGAGAACTGAAAAGTGGATTGTGCGGGGTTGTGCTCACTCCCCTGTCAGGCAGACCTGGGACCCTGGGATACGGAGCTGGGTCCAGAGTGGCTCACCTGGATGACCGTTGGCTACGCCGCCCTTCCTCGACTCACCATCATCCCAAGGGAGCAAGGACTGCGCAGCTCAGTCCTGCTGGAGGGCGAGCTGGGGGGAAGGAGCTGGGGTCACAGGCCCATACGCATCTCCAGGTAGGTGGCCAGCCCCCGGGGTCTGCGCCAGCCTCCTTGGCATGAAGTGATGCAGCTGGGGAAGCCTCCCGATGTGACCCTGCCCCTGTCCGCTGACAGGCTGGCCCACAGAGGTGTAGACGCAGTCAGCGGTCAGTTTTCCAAATGCAGCTTCCACAGCACGTCTGCACTGACGGCTGAGCTCCAGCCCAACCAGTTTCCAGCCCTGAGATGCCCACTGGATTCCTTTCTCAACCTGACCCACCCGGGAACGTGCCTGAGGTCAAGGTCACATACCCCTTCCTCTTCCCACATCAGCCACCCTGAAAACATTGGCAAAGCCTCCTGTGATCATAGTATTAAGAACTTTATTACCAATAGAATTTCTGATTTCAAGATACGTCATCATGTTGTTTGATCGATTTTGTGCTACAGCTGTTGTTCCTGATACTTTGATCTGTAAGAACACATTTTCCCAGAGTCACAGGAAACGAAAATTAAATCTCAGCATTTATATAGTTTTTATGATAGAGTATGATGGAGTGATCAACTGTGGAAACTTTGCAGCGTAAAAATATAGTTTGTCTAATTCTGAGGCAGGAGCGAATAGAGGTCGTATGTCTTGGAAAATAAGAGTAAGATATGATCAGATGTATTTCACTTTTTTTTTAAAGATGTTATTTATTTGTTTAACACAGAGAACACAAGCAGGGGGAACTGGGAGAGGGAGAAGCAGGCTCCACACTGAGCAGAGAGCCCGATATGGGGCTAGATCCCAGGACCCTGGGATCAGGACCTGAGCCGAAGGCAGAGGCTGAACGACTGAGCCACCCAGGCGCCCCAGGTGTATTTCACTCTTAAAAAGCAGTTTGCTCCAATATTTTTAAAAATGGATAAAGGTGGAAATCACATCACCATAGGTGCTTATATTTTATTCTGGTGGTTGTGATGAGAACAATGGAAGGCTTTTTTTTTATTTTCAACAGTTTTATTTAATATAAATCTTACATAATACTTACAGTGTTCCAGATACATTATAGTACCGACTCTCCGAAGCCCCTATGAGCTTATACTCATTTTATAGATGAGAAAAGCAAGCCCTTCAGAGGTTAAAGAACTTGTCAGAGTTCTCTGTCTTGGTTAGAAGCAGGGCCAGATTCTACCCTGGTAGGATGGCTGCAGGGTTTATACTTTCATAACCACCATTCTATGAAGCTTCTTTTTTTTTTTTCCCTGAGCATAACAGTATTCATTGTTTTTGCACCACACCCAGTGCTCCGTGCAATCCGTGCCCTCTCCAATACCCACCACCTGGTTCCCCCAACCTCCCAATCCCCGCCCCTTCATTTTAAAATATCAGGATTTGAATTCTCCCTGAAATGTTATGCTATTTAAACTTTATCATGAAGTTTCACGGTGGCAACTTGATGTGCAAAGGGGTATGTACGTCTTATAAATCTCTCCACGGGCTACGCAAACCCGTGGCAGATGCTTGCTGCCAGCCTCAGTACATAGCTGGGGTCGGGGCTGTTGGGTTGTCGGGTATGGTGTCTTCTCCTGCACTAGGTGAAGCCGGCCCGTTTCCCAGGGTGGAACCACCCACCCGCCCAGTGTGGGGCTTTCCCCTCGGGGGCCCCTCCTGTAGCTGGGGTCCCAGCCGCAGGGCTCTGGTGGAAGCAGCTGAAGTTGGTCTTTGCTATATCCATGAGGGCCGGCCCCCCGCCTGCGGCCTTGCAGCCCCCAGAAGCCGGTGGCTCTGGCGGTTTCTACAGGCAGAGCTTCCAGGGTTTGCGAAATGCAAGTGACGAGAGTTTCTGGTCTCTTTGCTTCGCAGAGTAGTCCTTGTCCTAAGGATGCTTTTCCCACCGAACCTTACCTTGAAAATCATGCCATGTTTCTATAGGCTGGCAAACTAAGAGGTCCGTGAAGTTTGACCAGTGACTGTTTAGTCAACATTCCTATATTTTCAACCCAATTTTTTCAAAGATTTTATTTATTTTTTTTGAGAGAGCATGTGCACGAGCCGAGGGAGGGGCAGAGGCAGAGGGAGAAGCAGGTTCCCCGCTGAGCCGGGAGCCTGATGTGGGGCTCGATCCGAGGACCCTGGGATCATGACCTGAGCTGAAGGCAGAGGCTTAACCCACTGAGCCTCCCAGGCGCCCCCAACCCAATTTTTAATTACACTGAAAAATGCTGTTTTATTGAGATATGATTAGTACATGTTAAGTGCGTCCTTCCTGACGAGTCTAGCTCAGTGCACACCTGAAACCACTGTCACTATCAAACTAGTTACATATTTTGTAAAGAAATGGCCTTGTGGGTCCCATCTCGATGTGCTCGTACCTGGGCCCAGTTCTCCAAACGCATGCAGAGATAGAATGCTTTCCTGACAAGTACGACAATTACCCTGAAAACCATTTCCAAACGGAACACTTTCTTAAATTCCATCTTTTTAATTTTTCCTTTTTCTTTACAAAGTAGAAGCTACCACTCTGTAAGGTGGCCATGTAGCAATGAGAAAACGTGCAGCTTCTTAAAGATCCAGCATTGAAACACTTTCCTCTTCTCCAGCAGTAAATTCTAATCCCTCCTCCCAGGCTGCCTGCAGGGTTAAGTGAGTCCGAGCCGCAGCCCCGGAGCTGCCTTCACTGGGACGTTGGCGCTGTGGCTGGTGCTGATTCAGCAGCCGCTTGCCGAGGGATTTGGTTTCATGTGTCGTACTCTTTAATAATACCAGAGCCGGCTGAAGGCCAGTCCCCGACCCTTGCTTAAAATAGATCTGCTAATTGCTAATCAATGTGGTTTATCTCTTCTGTTTTATTAGAGAACGTGCCCAGCTTTTTATGAGACAAGCAAGCAGCTGATCATTTATAATCAGCCCCTTACCCGTGCTTTTTCCTGATATGAAAGATTCTCTGAGAGGAAACGTTAGTAATCGCCGTCTGCGGATTGCATTCTGCATAGGACTGATTTTTTTTTTTTTTCTTTTTTAAAGTGTCCTTGGGATTTGGAAACTTATAAGTTCCAGTCTGTTCTTACAGAGATTAGGACCTGAGAATCTGCGTTTTGGGCCTTTTTTTAAAAAAATTGATTTATTTACCTTAGAGAGAGAGAGAGAGTGCAAGAGGGAAGTACAGAGGGAACGAGAGAAACTCAAGCCAACTCCCCACTGAGCACAGAGCACAGAGCCCAGCGCAGAGCTCGACCTCACGAGCCTGAGATCACCATCTAGCCAAAATCAGGAGTCCGATTGAGCCCCCCAAGGGGCCCCCATATTCTGGGCCATTCTTAAGGGAAGTGCTCTGGTATAGGATTAGGAATGGCATTACCAGCGCCGCATGGGGATGGTCGAAGGAGGCCACCAACTCCATCACATGGGTTGGGACATACTTAAAGAGAAGGTCTTTGAAAAGACAATGCCCTTAGGCAAAAGAGAGCTTCATAAAGTGTGTCAGTCTCTAGAGTGTTGGGGCTGTGTCTTTTGCTGTGCTAAAGTAGTCAGGTCCAAGTTGGTATGCATGCCCAAGGGGCTGGGGCAGGAAAAGGCAAACATTTCCTTTGCAGAATACAGGAAATCTCCCTTGGTATTCATTCTTGTGATTCTTCACGACAGACACACTTACAACAGTGCAGGAGTTTTTAGGTCCTGGAGCTTATCAGATAGCCCAGGCTCTCATAACATGGGTTTTGGGTCTGCACGTTCCTTCCGGAGAGAGCTCTCTGGCTCCACGCTGGAAGGGAGGGAGGCCGTGAGCTCCTGGCAGCTCTGGGGTGTCCTTCATCCGCCCTCCCCTTCCAGGTGTCGGTGAAGCCCCTTGCTTATCGAGGCTCCCAGAGCCGAAGGGAGCCTGATCTTCTCTGGTACTCAGCAAGTTAAGGAGGTGATATTAAACAAGACATTTCTGGTGCTGGGGAGTCGGCCAGGAGAAGACTGTTCTGGAAATAACTGGCTGACAGGTTGCTTTGGTTTCGTTTGATTTACATTTTTGTTTGAAGAATATCTTTTTTTAGAAGAGCTCATTTTTTTTTAGAACGTTCTTAGTTTCCTAGCAAAAATGAGAGGGAAGTACAGAGACTTCCCACATACCTTCCTCCCAACCCACAATCTCCCCCATTATCAGCATCCCCCAGCAGAGGATGTGTGTGTCAATGTGTGTAAGGTACCCCTTACAATCGGTGAACCTGCACAGACATATCGTCGTCCCCCAGAGTCTGTCGGTGACACCAGGGTCCACTCGTAATATTGTATGTGCTTTGGGTTTGGACACACATAGAAGGATATGTGTCCACCACGGTAGTTCCTCAGAGAGGAGTTTCACTGCCCTGAAGTCCTCTCAGAGAACATTCCAGGACACACAGCCCGCTGTGGTCACTGCCGCTAGAAGTGGGTCTCATTGGATCACCTTCCCGTCAGCCCCGGGAACGTGTTTGACCATCCGGGTCTTAGCTCGCTGCTTCTCGGAACTGCCTCCCTGAAATGATTCTGCCCTATGAAGGCTTCGTTTGCTTGCTTGTTTGGGCGAAACCCAAGAACAAAGACAGTGATAGAATGTCTGTCACGTGCAGACTGTGATCATCAGACTCCAGGTGCTACTGGATTTTCTTCCTGAGCATCTGTGCTGTGAGCAAATCATGTGGTGATGGGGTGACCACAGGTTGTAAACTGTGCGCTGCTCCTGTGAAAAGCTGTGTTCTTTGCTAAACCCACTATGTAATAGCTCACAGCAGGTGTCGTT